TTACCCACCTGGTGCAGCAGACATGGCTCTTATCTCCGGTTACGTGTTGCCGTTGATATCCTACTACCTTTGAGGAGGTGTGTCGCTCTCGGACGGCGGGCAAACGGTTACCCCGCTTGTGTTTGTTGAAGTATAACCGTTTCGACATTTTGTTTCTCTTGTGGCCGTATTGGTCATACCCAATTTGCATGTAGCCACACCCAGATGAGGGACATTCTTCTAATCTTCCAACACCATTTATTAAAAAAATATTTTATTAATTAAGGTTTGTTCAAGTAGTAAAGAACTTGATATTGCTTAAATAAGTCTCAAGCTCGAGGTTTGTGTATACGCTAGGAGAGTCACCTACTAAAATTAAATAAACGACATGGATTGATCCGGATTAATTAGGACGAAGCCTTAAAAATTCGGAACGAAGAAAATATATTTTGATTTTTATACTTATTTAAACTCAAAAATAATCTCAACTTAAAATAAGAGAATCCAAACTTATTCAAACTCATGATCATAAATTTAAATTACGTTGCAGTCATACTTTGAGTTGTATTGTGCGTCAATAGTGGATATTATTGTAGTCATTGCAGATATCGCTATTGTGAAATAATTTTTTTAGGACGATACATTTATCGTTATGTAATGATTGTTATTCTGATAGCATACCACTATTTAAATCCATACTCATGATGAATTGATCCAAAAATCCAAATCTTGAATATGAGCCCGAAATGACTCTAATACAAAATTTACCTGAATTAAAATACTCCAAAAATTTTAAGACTTGAATTAATCCAATCCGAACCAAACAACCCACCCAATTAAGATAACTGCCTATATATACATGAGAGGTTTAAGGGTTGCAGTTAAAAAAACTTCTCGAGTTTAAGGAGAATACGTTTCAAGATTCACAGTTTTGAGGCAGATTGCAATGTCCGCCGTGTTTTCCTTCCTCTCCATCCCGACTTGGCCGTAATTCCCGAAGAAGACGTTCGATTTTTCCTCTCCGGCGAGTCGTGATTTTAGGTTAATGGCGAAGCCGAAGCGAATAACGATTACTTTGGAATGTACCAGTTGTGTTCGAGGCGGCCCTAAGACTAATAAGGAACCAAGGGGAGTTTCCAGGTACACTACTGAAAAAAATCGACTCAACAAGACTGGTTGTCGACTTGCCGATCCCTTGAAATTGAAGAAATTCTGTCCCTATTGTCACCAACTTACGGTTCACGGCGAGATAAAGAAGAAGAAGAAGCAGATGAGGAAAAGGAAATAGATGCTTCCACGTCAAAAATTAAGCAAGGTTTGATCCTTATCCAACATCAAATTCACATCTCTCTTCTCCATTTCTTCAATTTTCTTGTGCAATTCTCTTTCGTATTCCATCTTCATCTTTGTCTGTGATCTTGATCCATTGTTGTATTGAAACATCATTTTCAACTTTAAACGATCATCAAGTATATAACCAAAGTCGAAAAATACAATCCTGATCATTGTTCAATGAAATAACGGCGTACACTCGATCGAATGAGGGCGTTGATGGGTGGTCTTTAAAAATTTCAAATTCTCTTTTAGATATTTTTTTATATATTCTTTTATCAATAATCCGTTTTCTTAATTCGACTCTTAAATATATTTCTCTTATTATAAAATTTTATATCCTAACCGGTTCACAACAACCACAGTTCAATAAGTAAACACAACAACATCCCGGACGGTGAGAATGGTTGCAAAACGAATCCGACAATCTCTTAGACAATGCAATCGAGTTTCACATCACTCAATCTGCAAAAGCTCACATTCTACTAGTCAAATAGAATTATCCACCACTATATATATATTAGCTTTACATTTATATCCTTGCATGGTATTATAAAAAAAATCTTTTATCAGTTAACATTATTTCCTGCACTTTTTTTCACGTCCTCTTCCTCTATGAAAAAAGGATATCCATAAACTCAGCCAGTTTCTTCACGCACGGCTTCGTATCTTCCATTAAAACTTGATATTTGAGAACAAAACCTTGTACGGCTGAAAGTTGAAGGGTTAGGGTTTTAACGTCGGCTCTTGCTCTGGTGGTTGTTCGGTCGGGTGGAGGTACGTTCGGCGTGAGAAAATTTTGGGTTTTTTAAAATTATAATTTTAAGCTTTTTATTTTAAATAACATTTTCATTATATAAATGTAACAACCATTACAATCGAAATACTTAAAATGATAATATTTCCGAAAAAAATTAGATAAACTAAATGAGAAAAAATTATAGTTTGAAAACTTTTTTATATTAGGCCTAATTTGAATTATCTATTTGATTCGATATAAAATATTATAATATTATTACGTTGGCTTTCTCCAATTTAAGGATGGAAGAACAACGCTACAACTAAAAAGAAAAGCAAAACATCCCCAAGGGAAGTGTGATTGATTTTAAATTTAATAATTAATCCAACAACCTAATTTTTTGAATTCCAATAATGGAAAAATCTAATCGGCTCCATTTAATGAGATGAGTCAGCAAACATCATCGTTAAAACATACATTAATTTATTTTTGATATATTTTAGGGTTTATGTCTAGGCTTGAATTATCTTTTTTATTTATTAGAGTTTTAATTCGAATTATTTTATATTTTATATATTTTTAGATAAAGATTTTAGTAAAATCATGTGTTTGAGAGTAAAATAAATAAATTAAGATCAAAATCAATTACTAACAATGACTTTGTTAAATTGATTAGTGGTGTAATTTAACATAGCGTTCGACAAATTGTTTGTATAACATTCATTTATTAAACTAAATAAATAAGTACGAACAAAATTTTTATGTTCATTTAATAAACGAACGGGCACAAATAGATGTGTACGATTCGTTTTATGTTAAAAAAAACAAGCTCGTTTATTGACTCTTTTATAAACTTATTTATTGGCTCGTTATAAGCTTGTTTACTCGATTCTCCTTTTCCTTTTATTTTTTATATTTTAAATATTGGTGAAGATATGAACTAAATTGAGCATAAAGTAAACTTTAGAGTTCAAAGTGTGAAGCTTAAGGAAATTAATGACTAGGAGTGTAATTTCACCATCTTTTTGGCTTGCAAATAAAAAGGTGAAAAGAAAGTGTTGATTGTCGAATATTAAAATGACGTGTGGTTCAAATTGTATTTATATTCCAAAATCGAGATATTAAATTAAAAAAATAAAAAAACTTGTTGTCAAAAAGAGGAATGGAATATTCATATATATTCTACAATAGTTTAGAAGCGTGTTTTTTAAATTTGAAAAAAAATAAACTTAAAATAAAAGAATAAGAAAATCATAAACCAAATCATAAAATCGTCAAATTATTTAAGTAAATATTTTATTTTTTTGGTTAATTCAAAATTTTCAAACTCAAATTTGACTTGGATAAATCAAAATTTAAGAAAATATTTTAACTTTTACGAATCAAATAGAATTTTACCCATCCCTCCTATATACTTCAACAACAACTATACCAATCAATTTGTTTGTTACTTATTATAATCACCTAACATTACTTTCAAATACACATTATTGTATTCATCCATCATTACACCACTATGACTTTGTCTTCCGTGTGGAGGAGCAGGTAGTCAAATAAGGAAAAAGGTCAAAGAAATGGTGACATGAGTTGGCCACAATCTAAAAATATTTTTGAGAGTAGACACATATATATTAATAACACAGAATTTTTAACGGGTGGGTATAAATATAATTTCAGGATGAGCACAATCAGTAAAATATGTAATTAATCGAAGAAAACTCGAGTTTCAGGGTAAACACAAATAAAATTTCAAGGTGAGAATCATCAATAAAATATGTAACTAATCGAAGAAAATTTGGATTTCAGGGTGGGCACGTGTCCACCCTCATCCCTCATTGGATCCGCTATCGACTGGAGTTGAGAAGGATGAGTAGTTTTATTGTGCGACAATCTAATTTAAGGTTATTTTAAGAATATTTTTAATCTAAAATGATATCATATTTAATCTTAAAGATTATATAAATTTATAACATTTTCGATTGTAATTAAAAAATTATTATATAAATTTGTAACATTTTCGATTGTACTTAAAAAGTTATATAGGGATTTATGGTTTATAATAAAAATATTATGAAGAATGTAATTTTAGGTTACAATCGATTTTTATTATTTTTTAATCTTATATTAAGAAATTGTATTTTAGAATAATTGTTGCTGGTTGGCACCTGAAATTGCTTTAATTACATGGGGTTGTTTTCGGCTATTAAAAATACCTTCAATTGCTTCACATGGCACAGCCTGGGGACAACCTTCTTCTGCTTTACTTTTTTGTGCTTTTTTAATTATTTAGGCCCCAAATTTAAATTCTTATTTTACTTTTATATGTAAGTTATGAATTTGATTTTTATATTTTAATTTGATCAATTTAACTCATTATAATTTAATCATATTTGTATATTGTTTAGGTCAAGACTAGGGACGATAATAGGACTAGATGGGTCAGATTTTTTATTTATTTGAATTTGACCCGAGAATTATACCCTTCATCAGAAATCTGACCCAACTTCGATTGAGAGAAGCTTCACATGATCTAAAATTTGATCTAAATTTCATGATAAAAACTGAACTTACCCGAAATATATAAAGGGATGAATATTATAGTTATTATCCTTTAATATATAGTCTATATGATTATTCTCAGCTCATGTTAGATTTTTTATCATAAATTTGAACCAAACCTAACCCGACTTATCCAAATCTGAATCTAAAAAAATGACTCTATAGGATTGAGTCGAGTCAAAATTTATTGCATTCAAATTAAATTTTCATCCCAGTCAAGACTGAAATTCTAAAACTCAAAAAATAAATTAATTGAAATTGAATAAATTAAAACATAAAAACTAAATCTATATCCTAAGTATAACAAAGGGACTAATGACAAATTTTGACCAATTAACAAATGAACAGCGCCACAAAAAGAAAATGGAAGCTGTCAAAAAGTGGGGTGAAACCTGCAAAAAGTTCATAGTATCATCACTCTCACTCTCATGCGGCCATTGCCATCAACTTTTTTCATTCTCTTTCTTTTCTTCAATCTTTCTAGGAAAAAAGAACACAGGGTTTTCTAATAGCATCCGAGGATTCAGATAATGAAAAAGATCAAAATCCCACAATTTATTCTCTCTGTTTACAGTGTTCTTCTGGTTCAGTTGGTGAATCATGGAAGCTGCGATTTGGGCTCCATTCACGTTGGCCACAAGTTAAGCCTTGCGGTTCCGTCGTTGTACATCGACGGGTTCGTCGGCAGAGCGTTCTTGATGGACGATGGCGATCGAGTGGAACCATATTTTAGAGTTGCATTGAGCGCTGAAGCTAGCAAAGGGAAATACTCATGCTCCTTGGAAGTGTTCTTGGGAGATATCGAAGTATGGAATTCTGGGCATTATTCCCAGTTTTACACCGCTGATTCATGTGTTCTTGAGCTCAGCCAAGATGGTGATTTGCGGTTGATGGGTCCTAAAAGTCGAGTCGGGTGGCGGACCGGAACATTTGGACAAGGTGTGGAGGTAAAACTTAAAATGTACATCCTATGATTCTTAGAATTATGTTTTCATTTAGTATAATGTTTAATATAGGTACAACATTTATTAAAATTGTCATTTAATCATTTTTTGCAATCATACAATAGCATTATATGTAGTATTGATGTGTCACATTCCATGTGATCTATACTGATGACATGGTATGTGTTACATCAACGATTGTTAGTCAATTAACATGAGATATTTTGATCAAAAATTGAAACACCATAGACTAAAATACTCTAAAAATATAATATATGCCAAAGTGATTATTTATACAAACATTAGAGGTAGTTTTGTAATTATGCTTTTAGCATTTTAGTCGTTAATATTTAATTTTTGATCAAAATGGATCTTATTAAATGAAAATCGTGAGTTGACTAACGATCAATATATGTTACTAACGTGACATTTTCACATATATTACATTGTTTGTGTCATGTATTGTATCATCCAAAATAATGGTGTAGCATGTACCATATTATTCAAAGTAATGATGCGACACATATTGTATGTAATGTCATCATCTTGGATGATATGGCATGTATCATGTCACCTAAGAAGATGATGTAATACATATCATGTCATTCAAGATGATGATATAACATACGTCACATCATCAATATGATGATTTAACATGTAATATATCAACAATTATGTACATGTAAGAATGTCATGTCAGTAACATACATTGATTGTTAATAAACTAACGATTTTCATCTAATAGGGATAATTTTGATAAAAAATTGACTCATTAAGGTTAAAATAATATAAAAATAAATAAAAACGAAATGATCATTCGAATAAACGTTTGAGGCTAATTTTGATATTATATTTTTTAATTTTTCTCGAAATATTCGAGATATTGATGGTTTTTTTTTTGAATTTATCCCGCTGGTGCAGATGTTACAAATCCTAAAGACTGGTAATCTAGTTCTCGTGGATGGTTTGAACCAGATAAAATGGCAGAGTTTCAATTTCCCAACTAATGTAATCCTCTGGGGACAAAGACTAGATGTATCCACTCGGTTAACTTCTTTCCCAAGAAACTCATCTTCCTCGTACACATTTGAAATCCAACACAACAAGATTGCTCTCTACCTCAATTCTGGTAAGTTTAAGTACTCTTACTGGGAATTTAAGCCTCCCAAGAACCAAAACGTCTCGTTTGTTGAATTGGGTTCGAAAGGGTTAGTGTTATTCGATGATGAACGTTACCAAATCGCACAGATTCCGTCACGGAGATCGATTCGGTCCCCGAGCTTGAGGCTTTTAGCACTGGGGAATGAGACAGGGAACTTAGGACTCTACTTTTACTCACCTAAAACAAAACAATTTGAAGCCTCATTTCAAGCTATCAACTCCACTTGTGACCTTCCTTTAGCTTGTAAACCTTATGGGATATGTACATCCCATGCTTGGTCCTGCATTCAGCTTACAACGAAGGAAAAAGACATGGATTCGAGTTCGACACGGTTCTGCAACGGAGCTCGAGTCGAGATGCTCGAATTAAACGGTGTAAATACAATTCTCAAAGATGCTCCCAAAAGGGTTATTGTCAGCAAGACAGCTTGTGCTAATTTGTGCCTTGATGACTGTAAATGTGTTGCTGCATTGTATTCATCCGATAACAGGTCCGAAAACTTTCGAGAATGCTCGCTTTACGAGCTCGTTGCGGGGATTAAACAGGTTGAATCGGGGACCGGAGTGAGTTATATGATCAAGGTTCCGAAAGGAACGCGGTACGATCATAGTGTGAGGACATGGGTGTTGATTGTGGTGGGAGTTGTTGATGGTTTAGTCATCATACTGATTCTGGGAGGGATTTCTTATTATTTGATTCAGAAAAGAAGAAAGTTACTAGGCACTAACAATAACAATACTTGACATCAGGTGATTGCTGAAAATTTTTCATTGGAAACTCCAAAATACAGTGTAATTCTTGTGTCAAAGGATAAACTTGTAAAGATTTACACCTTGAATTCGGACGATTTTTTGGGAATGATTTTGCAAACTCCAAAATCTTTTGTTAATAGTTGGCAATGCATGCACAACCTATACATGCAACTATTCGAGCCTAAGAGTACAAGACCTTAAGGGGGTATTTGGTTCAAGGATTGTATCCCACATTCCCATGTTTGGTTAGCCGGGAATCTCTTTCCCGGTAATGTTTTATTACCAATAGTAGATTTTTTGGGGTATATTACCGGGAATGTCATTACCTCCCTTCCCTTAGGTATTGTAACATTACCGGCGTTTTGGACTAAAATGCCCTTAAATTTTTATTTTTTTTCAAAAATATCATTCTTCTGTCATTGAATAATAAAAATTCTACGAATGTTAAATTACAAATTTATCCTTAAATTATTTTAGATTTACAAAAAAAAAATCTATAATTAAAATTTTATATGAAGTTCAGGGGTTAAAAAAATTTTACCCTTTCATTAAACCTTTTTTATATTTTTAATTTTGTAAAAAAATTATATAAATATTATGAATTTAATTTTTTAAAGAAAAATATATAAATATTTTACAATTTGTAATATTATACAAATATATAATAAGGACAATTTAGTCAAATATACATTCCAATAATCTTTTATTCCTTTAACCAAACACGGTAATCTTACATTCCTGCTAAACCAACCAAACACAAAATACAACATTCCCAGTAATCCTATTCCCTGATAATCTTTTATTCCCACTGGTAATCTTACATTCCGTGAACCAAACGCACCCTAAGGGACAACAACATTCCCTTTAACCATTGAGGTCATTCAATGAGTTCTATTACATTTTTTTTCACGTTATTTGAACTCAGTTTATGTATATGAATAAAACGAGTATACATATGTGATAAATATTTAATGGATCACTGTATTTTATGAAATTGGATGATTTTATCACTTAAAGGCTAAAAGTTTTTAATTCCACTTATTTCTTTTTGGTATAATTATCGATACTCGATTTATTAATCAACTGATTTGGATCAGATACCACTTTCATAGCTTAGAAATTGAAGTTTTGGAAACAATTGCCAAGATCAACCATGTTCAGCCCATTAATAACTCCAAAGTCCAATCCAGCATGAAGTTTTCAAAATTCCAGTTCATTTGAATTTCTTTTAACAAAGATCTATTGAAAAATAATTAAATAATGAGCTACTTATCATTTACTATAAAAATATAAATAATTTATATTTTTTTTTTGAAAAAAATAGCATATCTAAGAAAAGTTATACTTCAACGTTGAAGATATGAGCTCACAAAAAATTGTTTAATATATAATTTGATTTTATTTGAAATATAAAAATAAAGTCTACAGTATAGTTTTTGTATATTCAATATTTGGAATATATCAACTTTTATATTTTAAATCTTCATAATTTAATCATATTCTCCACATCTTATTTGAATCAATATAAAACTTAAAATTAATTAAATAAATAATAATAATAATAATAATAAATAATTTACAACTTACCTATAATATACATTTTGATAACAAAAACTGACCTGACAAGAAAAAGGCACTTAGGCCTCTTGAAATTAACAAAATAATATATAAATGAAATAAATATTGGAAAGAATGCAATATTGATTAGAATAGAAACTTGATCTCCATGTGGCCGTGTTACACAATTAGTATTGTCACAATTAGTATTGTAATTATCATTTGTGTTCTATTTTGATCACTCAACTATTATATTTTTTAAATTATATTTAATATTACGTTTTTGTTTCATTTTGGTTGCCTACTGTTAAAAAATTAACATAACTGCAAACGTGGTAATTTTTATTTTTTAAAAAAACTTCTCAATGATGAAGTGACATTACCTTATGGTGACACGTCAATGTCATCGTTAAATTTTTAACAGTGAGTGACCAAAATGAAACCAAAACATAATGTTAGATATGCTTTTGAAACAAAAATAAGTGCGTGACCAAATAGAACAAGAGTAATAGTTGAGATACTAAATGTATAGTTTACCCTTTAAGTTTAGGGTAAAGTATAGTAATGGTCACTGAACATTTCTGAAGCTTGCATTTAGGTCCCCCAACTTTTAAAACTTGCAATACAGTCCCCAAACATTTATTTCATTTGCAATATGGTCCCCCAACTTAAACCACCGTTAGAAAATTAGGATAAATTATATAAACGGTCATTGAAATTTTAGGCACTTAAATTTAGGTCCCCCAACTTTTAAAACTTGCAAAACAATCCTCAATTTCATTCTAAACCCCAATTTCCAAAGTAATTCAATTTCATTCTAAACCCTAAATTCCAAAATTCAATTAAATTCTAAACCCCAAATTCTAAATACTTCAATTTAAGGTTTAGAAAATAAATTTATTATTATTTCAAATAAACACATATTGATAATATATAATTTATAAAAATTCATAATATTATTTTACCAGGTCATATTGAACCTAGATCCACCTATTTATAATAACATTTCAATAGAAAGACGTTTCAAAATATTTTAAAAATATATATTATTTTTTACTAAACACGTGACTTTATGGAATTATGAAAGTGGCGTTGTCTTGATGGAATAATTTTTGTCAATGCGTTAAGTGAGTTTGTAAAACATTTGACAGAAAAATATAAACACGTGACAAGGTTGGCCTCTTTGATGGCTGCAACTTTTTTTCTTATTTGTCCTCCTGCATTCTTTTGACATCCTTAATTCACATAGGTTATGCATGGAGTAGATCGGGATATTGTGTGGCTTCAGCGGGACTTTGGCATATATATATGCAATCTCTTTGACACTGGACAGGTTTGTATTGTCAACTTGTCACTTCTCTTAACTTGAGGATTTAATTTGATAATTTTCTGTTAAACTCTTAGTGTTTCTATGAAGCTATTTATTGGGGTTATTAGCACTTATTGATAAATTAGGGAGAAGGAAATTGGTATCTCAGACTATACATGACAACTCTGGACTTGTGGTATAGTAACACAAATTTTGGATGATTAAGAAGATGCTAATCTCATTGGAACTCATTGAAGATGTTAAATATATTATAGGCTTGGGAATGTTACTGCTTACTGCATATTAAAGAGCCTAATTACTGTACTTTAAATGCCATTGTCTTTATGGAAATGCTTAGGCATAGTTTTGAGTGCAATTAGATATACATGAATTACTTGCCTGAATTGAAGTGAAAATTTGTGTCGGATACCTACCAATTTGTTGACTTATGCTTTCATTGTTTTACGTCTCCTAATTGCTTTGCTTTTATTATATGTTTTGTGATGACATATATGCTAGAGAAGACACACACTATTTGCTGTACATTTATGATTTAATGAGAATCAAATTGCTATAAATACCTATGGAACCTGAACAGTGTGATGCTCCTTTGGTAGAGGTACGAAGCTATGAATCATAATTCACATTATTTCTACATTCACCATAGTTTGTCATATCATAGTGCTGACCCTTCTTGGAGATGAGAAGCTAAGGGATTTCAATAGTCTTTAATCATAGTTAAATCATGGAAGTGTTGTGCTCCTTTACATATTCCTCTGGCTTTTGACATTCTATTTGTTCAAGCTTCAATGCATAATCTACAGCTGAGGCTATGTATTCAAAATGTTTAATGCATGTGTAATTTTGTTGATTTCCCCCCTTGAAATTAGCTTCTTGGTCATTGGTTCTCCTCTTTTTCAAATAAATTTACATGGATGTATGAATTGAGAACTTTATTGCTTTCCGGTATTTATTTTGACCGTTATCTTACTGGCAAAGGTTTTCCTACTAGCAGGTCTACAAGCGTAGTTCTGTATGCATGCAACTATATTTTTCTGTCAAATGTTTTACAAACTCACTTAACGCATTGACAAAAATTATTCCATCAAGACAACGCCACTTTCATAATTCCATAAAGTCACGTGTTTAGTAAAAAATAATATATATTTTTAAATATTTTGAAACGTCTTTCTATTGAAATGTATTATAAATAGGTGGATCTAGGTTCAATATGACCTGGTAAAATAATATTAGAATTTTTATAAATTATATATATATCAATATGTGTTTATTTGAAATAATTAATAAATTTATTTTCTAAACCTTAAATTGAAGTATTTTAGAATTTGGGGTTTAGAATTTAATTGAATTATTTGGAATTTAGGGTTTAGAATGAAATTGAATTACTTTGGAAATTGGGGTTTAGAATAAAATTGAGGACTTTTGCAAGTTTTAAAAGTTAGGGGACCTAAATTCAAGTGCTTGAAAAGTTCAATGACCGTTTATATATTTACCCTAATTTCTAACGGTGGTTTAAGTTGGGGGACCATATTGCAAACGGAATAAATGGGGACTGTATTGCAAGTTTTAAAGTTGGGGGACCTAAATGCAAGCTTCAGAAATGTTCAGTGACCTTTACTATACTTTACCCTTAAGTTTATTGAATATTTAGAAAAAACTGTTGAATAAAATTAGGTTTGCAATGAGAGAGAGAGTGCGTATATGCTGAGTTTGATAAAGACCTTCGCTTACCTATCAATTATCAATACAATTATAATAAAAATCAGTTGGTTGGTGTAGTGAGATAATTCACTAGATTTCTTAATAAAGTTAAAGGTTAAATACTAACATTTACGAATAAAGTAACTGAGTTGAAAAAATCGCTTTATAATAAACTTCTGCAAAACCTAATCTGATTTAATCAATCAATAAATCAGATATAATAATTAATTCAAAAAAATGTCAATACATTTATAGAAGTTATTGGATAAATTATTAAAAACGTATTTACAAAAACAAATATTGAATAAATTTTGGATTTATTTCAATTATTGCCAAATGACGTATTGTTACTAATTTAGTATTTTTTTTAATTAATAAAACGAATGCATGTGCTCAATGCTCAAGCCCACTTGGAATTGGAAAATAAAACTCCCTTAAATACAAGACAAACCTATTTA